CGACACAAAACAAGCAAGGAAAATATGCCTTCATTCTACCAAAGCCACCGCATGCTTAGTTCTCCCAGTCTGAGCACTTTTGCTTGTGCACCAGAAACGCTCGTATTTATAACCAGATCAGTTGTATATGTATTGAAGTCCCGTAAGCATAATTGCCGCTGTGTTAGTGTTTATTTTGTGCACTTCTATCTTTGCACAGTTTAAAGAGAAGAGAATAAATTGGCACGTATAGGCAACGTCACATTTGAGTTTCTCTCTGAATTGATTGAATCTTGGAGAGCCGTCATTCGTTGTATACCTACCTACACGCAAACATCGAATTTTTAAATTTTTAAATTTTCTCACTACCATGTCTGCATTTCATTCAGTAGCCTCAGCGCATTGATGGAATATTGTTCATAGCATAGTGCAAAATTAAATAAGAATCATGGAACATTATAGATATTGTTGATGACCTCGTGAAAAGACCGTTTTCCAGAAGATCCATGGAGGACCAAAGTTGGATAACTTGAAAACGACATGTAAAAGGAATGGTAAAATCATAACGCGGAACTTTGTCGAAAATGGACAAGTGGAAATTGTTGGTTGTGTCATGCTCGAGGAAATTGCGCCGGAAGTGGAGCATTTCGAGGAAATCGCAATTGGAGTCAACTCTACGCTACTGCTCAGGAAACGGTTTGTTTAACGATGACAAATATCATAGACATGAGACTTAAAAAGAAAATCAATGTTTATATGCAAGAGTAAGCAAAACTGGTAGCAGAACTGTTTCCCATCATCATTTCGTTTATTTTTTATGCAGGTACCCCAGTCGAAAGATTTGTATCCCATTTTTTTATTATGCATCAAAATTGGCTTCTACTGTTACAGACAAAATATAAATAAAATAGGTGCACAACTAGTGAATTTTCTCACGTGACGCCACTGATTTTAAATTTAACTACGGCAAAAATAGTTACTTACTCGTGAGTATTTTCTATTCAAAATTAAGTTCAATTGACTCAAATTTGAGAATATATCTCATATACTCACTAGTAGCTTATTGAACGATTGTCACGAGGTTGTTATGCAAAACTCAAAATTACCCAAAATGAAGTAAAAAGAACTTAAATTTAGGGTATTTTTTTTTTTTGCTCTGAGTAGGTAGCCGGTTTGCCAGTTCAATCTATGGGAAGGGGAGGTAACTGTCAAATACGAACAATCGTTGCCTACCTCGCATAACTGGTTCCATACGACAACAAAGCCATAAGACACAATGGTTTGTTGATATTTGGAACCAAATACACATATGGAAAATCAATGAGCGTAAACAGGTAAGGCCCAGCAAATTTATCGTCTCTTTCGTGCTCCGGCTGATTAAATGAATGATGGAGTTTGACGTCACACTCCTTCAACCGTTTAAACAGCGGGAGAACGAAAGAGATGACAAACTCACTGAGCCTTAAGTGAACCTTACACGGTTGCTTTTATTGACAATAATTGTATTGTCAATACATTCTATATTGACGTCAATACATCGATATTGACAATGTTTCTGTATTCACATCATCAATATTATTGTCCATAATTCCCCTTCGCGTCAATATATTGAAAAGTGTGGGGTTTGCTTTACTCATTTACATCTCATTGATGGATTTTCACGAGATTTTTTCAGTAGGCCGATTTGATTGCTCACCAGCGTTGCCAGATATACCGATTTTCAAACTTGATACCGATATACAGATAAAGTTTCTCAGAATACCGATTTTTGAGTTTTAATACAGCCGGCGCCGGTGATGTAGTGGTAAGCGTGACTGGGTTCAATCACAGCTGAGGTCGGTGGGATTTTTCTAAGGCATCAACATCTCTGGTCACGTCTTCCTTCAGAAGGGAAGTAAAGCCGTTGGTCCCGGCCCATGTGTGTTGATGAATGCGTGCGATATCCTACGCAGGTGTGGAAGCTGCCTTCCTGCACATTCGATTGCCGTCAATGGATGGCAATCGATGTCCGTCGGTGATTGGCACTAGTTTGCGGAACAGATACCGACGTTAAATAACGAAATAAAGAAGAAGAAGAAGAAAAGTTTTAATACCGATTTTTTTTATTAATAATAAAAATGATTGCTGTCTGACCGCACTGAATTGTCATTGTGAGAGACTTTTATCTTCTTTCATTTCCTCGCGTTTTTTTGTTACCAAGGAGTCGAGAAACAGCTGATGGCTTAATCCAATAATTTCTAGAAATCCGGAAATACTTTTATTGAGTGGAAAAATAGGCCCATAAAAACGTTAATTTTGAACTTCCTGAAATTTCTTTAATCTTGCCTTTGAAGTTTCTTCCAACTTTCCCTAGGAATTTCCGTTCACCTTACCCTGCCCTGTATGTTATTTTCCGATTCCTTCCGGAAAGCTATTTCGACTTCCCTTGGAAGCTTCTTCTGGTTTCGATCGAAAGGTTCTTCCGTCTCCTCCCGTCAGTTTTTTTCAACTGCCCAGGGATTTCAGAAATGCTTCCAGAGTTTTATTGCGGTTCCATTAGTTTCAGGAAAACTTCAGGAACTTTTCAGAAGTTCTGAAACTTCAGAATAGTTCGGACTTTTGGGTAGGTTCCGATAAATTATACACAGTTTCATTAACTTCTGTTCAAATCCGAGAACCCGGAAATCTCAGGAAAGTCCAGCGAACTGCAATGAACGTAAGAAAACTAAATATTTTGGAAACTTCAAAGATATTTAATGGTTTTCAGGATAGTTCCATTTGTTTCAGGAGAATTGAGATAACTTTAGGGAAGCTTTCAGCACATCATGACATATGAATTCAAGAAAATTTCTGAACCTTTAAATGTGATTGTTTATAAGAAAGTTTGAACATACTGAGGTGTAAGCACATATCATCGGTAAGAGACGTGCTCTTAGATTTTTTCGCAAATTTTCTCACACACACGTCTCTTACCGATGATATGTGCTTACCTCTCAGTATGTTCAAACTTTCTTATAAACAATTAAATTGACTGGCAAAGTCGCTAAAAACCGTAAATCAAAACCTTTAAATGAGTTCCGAGAAACTCAGACAATTTCCGAAAACTTCAGTTAAGTTCCGAGAGGTTCATGAAAATTTTGGAAACGTAAGGGAAGTTACATGAACATTAGAAAATTGTGAGAACATTTTAAGGGCAGCTCTGTGTTTTTTATCGGCAGTTTCGAGAACTTTAAAAAAAATAAAAAATCGGGATGTTCAGAGAAGTTAGCAATCAATTTCTTCCAGATATTTTCCCATCTTCTCCTTGCAGTATATTTCGACTGTTCCGTGAGCCCTCTGGCGTCCGACATTTTCCAGAATTTTATTCCAATCTACCGTAGGAAGTTTCTCCCAGTGTATCCTGAACGGTTCTTCCGTCTTCTCCAGGAAGTTCAATTAAATTTCTACCGGATTTATCTATCGAGAAGTTTCTTTCGTCTTCCTCTGGAAGTTTCTCCATATGTCTCTCTCCGTAGGTTTTTTTCCGACTTATTGTAAGGTTTTTCCGAGCTTCTCCTAACTTCCCCTGGAAATCGCTCCTCCGGGATTGGCTTCCGATTTCCAAACTTTTCTGGCTTCTGGATTTTTTTTTTAAAGAATCCAGAAAAATTTGCCAGAAGTTTCTCAATATTTATCTTGGAAGATCCCCATCGGATGTTTTTGTCGACATCTTTTAGTATTGCCTTCAAACTTCCTCCACGAGATCTTCTTTATTCTTACTCTGGAAGTTTTGTTGGTACCATCTCGGGTACCATTAAGAGACTAATTCAAATATTTCCCAAAAATTTCTTCCGACTTACATGGAAAGTACATCCTTCGATTTTAGTCCAAAAGTTTGAAAAAAATTAAAATTAATTAAAATAATGAATACAGATAAATACCGATTTTTTAATCCTTTTTGATACCGACAAGACAATCTGGCAACGGTGCTGCACATCCCGCCCCTGGTGTGTTATTTTCTTTTGCCTGCGGGTGGTGTTAGCCCTTTCATTTTCGTGGTTTTGTTCGCTAGCATTTGACAGATGGTTTTTTCGATGGATACGAAATGGAAGTGTAAAAATTTAAGATTCATTGTGGAGTACACTCAAAATAATGTTTTTGGCAAAAGATGGATTTCATAGGACCACTCTAATGACAAATTTATATAAAATGTGCTAGTACATTTGTTTCAATATTTGGACATTTAGTGTCTTCAAAGAAGTTTTTGTTCTTAAAAATTCCCTTCTTTTGGTGTTTGCAAACGTCAGGGTGGTCCTCAAATTAGGGAATTTTTAAAACTAACTTTTTTGTTTTACAAAATATAAACATGTGTTGTTTAAAAAAGTGTTTTAATGCTAAAAAAAATATTATTTTTGGTTCAAAACTTTTAGAATGCGGCATCACAGAGGTACTACATTTGAATTTGGCTTGATCGAGTGGCGATTTTCTTTTCTTTACACGATAACCGTAAAATACCAAAAAAATAACTACAAAGTAAGCATTTTCGAGGGAGACTGGGACTACCCATAAAATGAGTAAAAATATAACCCATTTGTGAGTCATTGTTGGGTATTTTACTGTTACCGTGTGGATCAAGACGATGAAGTTATGAAGAAGGCAACGCTATTAACTATCTGCACGCTGTATAAACATATAGCCATGATAGAGGGATAGAACATCAATCTCGATCATTATTAACAATGGCCGAAGTTTTGGAAAAATGTGAATGATTGCTCATAACACACAATTATGCAAAGTTTCATGCAAATCGGAGAAGGTCAAGTTTTCATTTGGCGGAGTGAGTGGATGAAATGTCACAGGATGAGTAATTGTAATGCAGTTTACGTGGTACCATTACCGCAAAAGGAAAATATTTACCATAAATGTTGATTCATTACTGACGCATTGCGCCAATCCTGTTATCAGCGCGCAGCGTCCACCAGCGTCTAATTGTAACTATAATCTATTTGTCCAATCTTTCAACAAAACTAACACGCCTTTCTTTCTACTCAATCTACTTGCAGCTTCAGTCCAAACGGTCGGGAGGAACCACCGCGGTGGGCCAGCGCCCTGTGTGCCCTTGGCCTGTTCATCTACCAAAGTCTGGACGCAATCGATGGCAAACAGGCCCGGCGAACCAACTCGTCCACACCGCTGGGTGAGCTGTTCGACCATGGTTGCGATTCGATATCGACCGTGTTCGTGGCCCTGTCGGCGTGCATTTCCGTACAGCTCGGATTCTATCCCCGGTGGATGTTCTTCCAGTGCTTCTGTGCGATGACACTGTTCTACTGTGCCCACTGGCAGACGTACGTGTCCGGTACGCTGCGGTTCGGCAAGATCGACGTCACCGAAGCGCAGTGCACCATCATCGGGATTCACCTGATATCGGCCATCTTCGGACCGTCGATCTGGATGACGAAAGTAAGTGGTTTGGTTTCGGAGATGATGGGTCGAAGGGGTATTTTAAGACGAATGCTAAAATAGAAACTGCCCTTTGATTCGTTGCTTTTAAAAAAAATATTGCTCCAAGCACTGCCCGAGTAATGAGTAGTACCACAACGTGTCCGTTTCCAACTAGAGATGACTCGGTATAATTGAATTTCACCTTCGTCATACTTTTCAAAGATAGAAACATTCGCATTTCATTAACGCCTTTCCGTTACTCAGTAGTGGTGACCATAACAAGAAACAGTGTACAAGCCCTGTGCGGCATAACATTCTCATCGTTGCTTGATTTCCTATTCTAATGGGACTGTTTTATACCGCACAGGGCAGTGTAGCTATCTAGCGATTTACACTCTTGTTCGTTTCGTTTGACTGATAGGATCGACGAAAAAAGTGCAAGCGAGCTACGTAAAAAACGGCTTCCATTTCGGATGGACTATGACCGGGCATCACGCCGCCACATGTAAACAAAAAGAAATCTCACTGTATGGCGATATCACGCCACACATATTTGTTGTTCGCGGACATCGCTGACTATACCTACCTACTATCACCACGTTTGCTCGATTGAGTATGTGAACACGTATGAATGACGGCGCGCGTGTGGTGCCGGTTTAGATTACACAGTTCCGTCTCTTGTGTGATACGTCACGCCATACGGCTTTGTTAGCATAACTTAGTAGTTACTGTCGAATTTTAGATTGCGGTGCATGTTCAGTGTGAATTGAAACTGCTGAAATTGGGCATTTTTGGAGGTGCTGCTGCTGCAGACCCGTTCTTGACCTCGGTCAATGCAAAGCGAATTTGAAAATGAATTTGTTTACTAGGATGCTGCCCAGCAAACAAGCCCTTTATCCCCCAAAAAGCTACCCTTCATGTGATTTTTTTTATGGCATTCCCATTTAAAAACAACTTTTAATGGTTTCAATGACCCTCAATGGTGATTCTGCAATAGTTTCACATTTTCAACAGAACTCTGGCATCAGTGGTGCCAGATAGATTAGAGGTGCTAAACATGATTTACCTCCCCGATACTTTGAGGATGCGCAAGGAATCATTCAAAGGAACTCGCAAATACCGAGGAGTCCCTGGAAGATCCTCGAGTAGTGTCGTGGGACATGTCGGGTCCAATTCCTGGGGAATTAACAAAAAATCGCGCTTCCAATTTCCCGGAAAACAAATCGATGATTATTGGGTGAAAGTTACAAAACATTACAAAAGAAACTTCTAAGGACTGGTACCCTTACTTATGTATTTAGATTAGTATTTCAAGTCTCGCCTTTTTCAAGTACTATTCATAAAATGCGGGACTTGGAATACGAAGGTAAGGGTACCAGTCATTTTTTCAGTGCCAGGTACTCTATTTTATGGGCTGCGCAAGGGAAAACAAGATTATGCTTTTTCGGCGGAAGTTACATTCAGTTTTTCAACGAAACGTTGGACAAAAAATAAAATAGCAGTATTTTGAAAAACCATTCACAACACACATCAATTCCCAGTCGAACCATACCAAGCATTCTTTTTATTGGGCAAAGATTCACAGTTTTGCTAAAATTCGACCATTTTGAATATTATTAAAAAACAAAATGGCGTCCTTGAAATAAATAAAAAAAAAAAAAAACAATGTAACACAGAAGTGGCATTTCTGATCAAAATGACTTCTGAGACAAAGTTGTTGAGAAAAATAATGCCGTTTTGGGAAAAATAAACAAAAGTATGTTTGTTATTTCTAGATAGAACTGGAATTAGGGCGTAACAGCTTTTGTAAACAATTACTTCTCTCGATGATTTCTAGAAAGCCAAGGCTTGCCCACTCAAATCATCGACACCATCGGGTAGAGGAAGACTTCCCCTTCCCGTTGGTTATGTTGGTTTGCGTGGGCGTGCCTTGAGTTTCAAGAAATCATCGAGAGAAGTCATTGTTTACAAGAGCTGTTACGTCATAATTCCAGCTCTATCAAGATTTATTTGAAGTAAACCCAAATCTCAAAATGTCCTTGCGTTGCAATGCTTCTTGTTCTACGGTTTTTGGTTAATTTTAGAGTGTTTATAACATTCCGAGTTTTTTTTAAAGAAAATTTAAAAATCTCACATGGAAATTTTGAGATATTTAGGGTTTTAACATTTTTTTTTTGCATTTCTATTTAAAATAACTAAAACATATTTTTGTATTTTTTTTTCTCAGAAAAACATTATTTTTCTCTACAACTTTGTCTCAGGTGCCATTTCGATCAAAAGTGCAATTTTCGTGCTATACAGGGGTGGACTATACTGGGGTACAAATCAAAAATTTGCGTGGCGAAATAATGTTAGGTTTTAAATGCATATAACATAGACATTTATGGATGGATTTCAATTCATTTCACACCATTTGATTCAGATTGGATACAACATTTGTTTGGTATAAAGATTATAGTAGTTTATCATTAGTAAACTATTGAAAATTGATCAAACTTTTTGGCCGCAATCAACCAATCACGTGCTTGCATGCTATGAATATCGAAAGAACAGAGAGAGAGACGGGTCGATTGCGAGGTTATAAAACAGCTTACTTGTACGTTGTCACATCGTTAGACGTCATACATGACCGATGAGACTAAATCTAAATTGAGTAGGATTTCTCTCAAATAGTAGAACATTTTCTTCGATTTTCCTTGAAAAGAAAATTTGATGCCTTTTAAGTCTTCATCGCCACTGAGAATAACAAAATTGAGTCGAATTTGATTCAACATTGCAAAAAAAAATAGTTACTCAGTGAATGAGTAAATTTGTCCTCGATTTTCCCAGAAGGGTAAACCTGTAAATCTACATATCTAGAAACATCTACAATCTATTTTTGGGAGCAAATTCGTGCATGCATATTTTCTCCTCCGCCCATCGGTGTTAAACTTTGGTGGTTAACTCTCAGCGCACGAGAAAATCAAAACAAACACGATAGTCAGACGCCACACGCTATTTTACGCCAACTTGTTTCTCAGTGTGCCTCACGTGTGCCTGCAGTGCCGAGAGTGTCATCAGACTGATTTTTTTGTTTGTATAATGGTATGTTTGGCAACCCGGTTAATTTGACAGTTCACATGTTTTGTTTGACAATGCAATGGAATCCCATCCCAGATCCTAACTGTCGTGACTCTCGGTTCGTTGCTCCCAAATTCTATCGGAAAAGGACTACACTGAACCTAATTAGCAACGGCCTCAGCCACCAAATCGGAGATTGGAGCGATAACGTTCTCCGAGGGAGGTACTTCCAATTTCCGACAGGACAATAACTTCTACTGGATTGGAGTATGATAAGGACTCGGATTACCCACAGGTGACGGTGGTAAATAGACGAAGCGAGCGTGCTTCATCAGAGGAAACTGGTCCAGATGCTCTTCAGATTCTGATGAACGCTTCCGTGAGGAGTTTCTCCCGAAAGTCATCGACTCAATCAAAGATGCGTCGCCAGCGTTCTAGTGGGAGTTTCAACCGGAATCTGACTTCCCTGGCGGAGGTGGGGTTTAATTTAATGAGAGAAGTATGATGTCTCTGGCAAAAAGCAGTGCCGGCCAGAGAACACCTGTAAAAGCGGGGGCGCTGTCGATGGTAGATAAGCAAACACAGGTGAAGATTGTACCTCCGAACATGGTCCGAGTGATCATCGAAGGCGAATACATCTATGCCAGTTACGATGAGGAAGTAATCATGGAACTGAATGTTGGTTGGCTAATCAACGACCACTGATAAATCTACTACGGCCAGATGGTGGCCTTTGTATGGACATCGATTCCCTTACGACCTTCTGTGCGGCTCGGATTCCATAATCAATTCATACCTCATAGAGTTCGCGAAAGCTGCGTTCGGATCAGTTCTACGAGGATTATTGCAAACATCGCGATGTTGACATGCTTACCGAACTGCTCCAATCGCTCGGTACCATGGAAAACATCGGTCTCTTTACACTTCACTGGGACTTCTTCTCTACCAAGCCTATAAATATTCTATTTCAAGCGCTGGGTTACCAGAGTCGTGTCAACCAACTCACCGATGTCATCTTTCAGGAGCTCACCTTCAAGCCCAACAACTGCCAAATCAACATTTTACAATTCCACTTAACCTCGTTCGGCTGTGATTTCAGCTCCGTCACGAATCGATCTACCAACATCTTCAACGTTCCTTTCACTTCCTCCTTCAGGGTTTCGCTCTCCCCACTAACTCTCTAATCACATTCCGAATTCGCATTATGACCAGTAGCAGTCCCTTCATGGTCATCTTTCAATCAACTTCCGGAACGATGCCACCCCTTTCCCAACTTCGATCAAACTTTTCTGTAACACCAAAGCCTTCCGCACCAGATCCTCGAACAGTTCGTTCGTCTTGAGTGGAGGTTCTCCGATCTCGAAGTCTTCCGCTAGCCACTCCAGCACCATCCAGAAGAATTCCAGTAAGACCCCCAGATTACTGTTGTACTGGGCAACGGTCATCGCCTTGATGACCTCGCTAAACCTAATGTTTTGACAATATGTCCGCTGTGAAGAAATTCACGGTTGAAGTTATGAAATCAAAAATCGGATTGTCTCAACAATGATTATCATTTTGACACATGCACAGAGCAGGCGCAGATATAGTACAGTGTTCCCAATGAAAGTGTACAGGTGTGCCCGTCTGTATTTTTTGGCACACTGTAGGGAGTGACCAACCCCTTGGTTTACCCATAAAGCGGGCAAACCCAGAATTTGAGCAAAGTTTATAATCCAAGCTAGTTAAATTAATTTTGAAACTCATATAAGGATCATATTTACCAATACTTTGGTCCAAACCCCACTCATATTCTTGTTTGTTCTGTTTACAGCCAATCTGGGTGATCTGTTAGTGCAATCTGGGTAAACTGATCTGAGCGTGCATGACTATTTTGATACCAGTTAAGATAGTTTTGCTCTCTACCACCTTCCAGGATTTTCCAGGAAAAACTTCTTGCATATTTCAGGGGAAAAAAT